GGGGTGCACTTTGAGTTCCTTGACAAAAGCATGCAATTTCTGGTTAACTTCTTACAACAAACTCCCCCCACCTCCCAGCCTCAGGTCCTGCTCCCTTGTAGTCTCCTAGCCTCTTACTAATGAAGTCCCGCACCCTCAGTAGACAGCTTTGATCAGTGGGTTCATCCTAGATGCTTGGGCGTGGGTACCAGCCACAAGACATAAGTGCATCCCACAGTGAGCCAAACGGTGGAAGTGAATGCCATTCCCACTCCGTCCTCTGCTTAGCCTGCCATTTCTGCCTCCAGCCAGCTTCCTGCCTTTCAACTCTTCCAAATTCAGCAGGCTCAAGATTTTTGTGTATGAGTGCTTCCAAGCTCTAGGACATTAAAATCAGTTTGTTCCAAGAACTCTAACATCACGCTTCTCTTGGACCCATAGCAGCCCTAGGGCCTGAGCTTCCCCACTCAGTAAACTTCTAGGTTCTTCCTAAACTTCCCCCCAGGGTCCTCTAATCTCTGTCACAGCAGAGGGGAGAGAACACCCCCACACTCCTGCTGTGTGGACAGCTCCCTGCTGACTCCTCTATGCATTTTCAAATTTCTGACTTCAGAGGTAAGTGGGCAATAGGGATTGGTAATCATCAGGTGAATTCTGCTGTCTTTTGGAAAGTCCTGCAAGGATATTATTCCTGGCATCCTTCTTTAGGAGATGGAATATTTATCACCACAATCTTCAGCTCTTAGACCATGGCCCAAAATTCCAAAACACTACAAAAATCCCCATTTTGTATTCTGAGAGCTTTGATCCCAGATGGGTAGCCACTGTGAATTGTGAGGTCCATCTTCATGAATGGTTCTGGGCATCACTGAAGCATGCAGACCTAGGCAGGAGGGAGTGGGAATTTAGTTACCACCTGGTTTTCTTTTCTAGAGCTCATGTCCTCAGTCCTCTTCTCTAGAGAGGCATCTTCACAGAGTAAGACATCTCTTTGGCCCTTACTTTTCCCAAGTGAGAAATTCTAAAAAGGCAGAAATAGTTCTCAAAAAGAACATAGGTATCCAATCTGATAGGACCTTAAGTGCTGCCCAAATGAGGACATCTTTCTTGGCTTGGGAACACAACTTTTCTTGCTGAGAGCCATTTGCCACCTTCTTCAACTTAAATACTTTCAAAGCCCAGGTGTGCATGACCTGATACAAAAAAAAAAAAAAAAAAAATTTAAAGCTGATAATCAGGATCCCTGTCCTCAAGGATATTTGTTGCCTTGGAGCAAAGTGATACAAATATGGAACCAGGTGTGTAGTTGGATATTAGTTTAACTCAGATATAAGCCAAATTCCTGCTCTTCTCTTGGCTCTTGGTGCCAAGAGTAAAAGACTTGAGGCAGAGTGTTTACGGTTGTTGTGTTTTTCTCTTGCCACAGTTGGTGATTCTTTGTTTTTGATGGAATACCTGGCAAGTTGCTAGAGTGTTTGACTTCCTTGATGCTGCTCCATATTCACCTATTTCTGACTTCAGCAATAATTCCAGTGCCAATCGCCAGCTTTCTATATTTATCAGCAGCTGCTTCAGCGATGTGGAAACAATTTTCTCAACAGCTGAAAACCATGAAGATACAGAGTAGGACATTTTGTTCTTTATAAAAGAGCTTAGTTGGGATGAGCATGGGAGGAGTGAACAATCCAGCACGCATCTTTTTGTCTCTGCATCTTTTCCACTTTTCCCAGCATGACATCAGGCTTAGGTGGAGAATTTGTGGTTTTGTCCAGAGAGGAAATGAGTGAGTAGCCTCTGTGGCATGTGCCAGAACACTTGGAATCAGCCAGTGTGGGCCAGTATTCTACTTTCTCGGAGGTGGTCTTTGATTTTCTTGATTTATGTCTAAAGGTTTGGGAGGAAGTGGCTCATCCCCGTCTCTGCTTCCAGCCCCACTTTACCAGCTGCCTAGCTCTAGACATTCAGCATTCGGTGAACACTTCTCTATAAACCATTATCAAAGTCAATTGTAGAATATCTGTCCTCCATGGGACACTGCGGGGCCCAGAGGATCTGAGAAGTATGGGACACCACCTGTGAGGTCAGAGGCTTCCAGACTGCAGGCATTTTGACTATATGACTGAATAATAAATGGTACCCTCTTTTAAAGCCCTCACATGGTGCCTGGTTCAGCCAAAACCCTCAGTGCAGAATGATCAGAGAAATCGTTATTGCTCTCAAATTGTGTCTCAGCTGCTTTCAGAGCTCTGGGATATCTGGGCATTAATGTGCTTGTAAAGAGAACAAGACTTACCATCCAGAAACATGGCTTCTAGTCCCAGCTCTGCTCCCACCAAAGAAAGGTGGAGCCACATTGAGAGGCTAACATGGACCAAACGTTCTAAGTGTTGTGCAAAGCACGTCATAGTTGGCAATTTCACAGATGAAGAAGTGAGGGTTCAGAGACTGTAACTTGCCCAAGTTAATACTCAAGTCCTCCTAATTCCAAAGCCTGGACTTTTACCATCCCTAGGCCTTCCATCTCCCTAGATCTCAGGGCTGTGCAGGGGGAGACGCTGAATGGCTCTCCCAACCCTCCTGAGCCCAACTGTCTTCAGTTCCTAAAACTGAAAGCCATGTCTAGAATTTATTTTCTGACTTAAAAAAAAATCTTCCAACCGGCATCTTCCTTATTATTTTAAATCTTTACTGCCACCTAGTGGGCATGATCTAATCAGAAGAATGAAAAAAATTCGGTTCAACTTGGATTAAAAACTGTCAATTCATCTTAAACTCATCTTGTGCTCCTAACCTTTAAATATTGTATGTAAGAGCAAATATCATGGCCTTCCATTTTTATCCTTATAGTAAGGATAGTTTAACTATCCTACTAAGGTAGTTTAACCAGATGTGAGATCCCTTTTATAAAGTTTTTTGTTGAGATGCTGGGAAACAAAACTCCAGCTTAAAAATAATAATAATAATAATGCTTTGTGATCATATAATACACGCTCAGCTAATAATGGGCAATACTTACAGAAATCCTAATCTGCAATAATTTAGAACTTATATAGCAATTATATTTTTAATTTTATAAACATTTGCTCTTTTTTTTTACATTCTTATGGTAACAAAAAAATAATTCAAACAACACAGAGGATGTGAGGTAAAAAGTCCTCCTTCACAGAGGAAAATACCTTAGGCATTTCAATTTTTTTTAAAGAAATGTTTTATTTCCTATACAAGCATGTGTGCAAACATATATATACCCTTCACTAATTTTTTGTAAATGAGCTTATGGTATGCCTACTGTTCCACAGGTTGCTTTTGTTTTTTTTTTAACTTAATCTATTTTGGACATCTTTCCATGTCCGCACACAAATTGATTCATTCTTTTTAACAGTACATACTATTCCAGTATTCCAGACTCTACCATAATTAACGTAACCAGCTCCTCATTAATGCTCCCATCAGCTGTTTTCAGTTTTGTTGTTACAAAAGCACTGCAGGAAATACATGTATTTTCTTCAGGGAATACATACATGGACACATGCCAGACACACACACATGCACACTCATTTGCAAATTTATTTGTAGGCTAAAATCTGAGACAGGAAATTGCTGGATCTAAAGGTACATTGATACCCACTGACCAAAGATCACCAGAAACACACCTGTAGTCAAAAAAAAAGGAGGGGGGATAGTCAAGTTAACTTAAGCCCCAGCAAAGGAGAACAGCAGGGGAATCGTGAGCATCTCCAGAGGAACTGTCCTAGGATGGGAGCGCTTGCTGGGTGGCATTGAGGAGGAGTCAAGGCAGTGGGAGCAGTTCTGGGCTGGGTTCTGTCAAGACTCAGGAGCAGGTCAGTGAATGGGCATCTCAATAAGTTTTTCTGGCAGAAGAGAGAGTTAAAGTAGGGCTAGGAGTGTCACTAGTAAAGAAGCAGCCATCACAGATGGGGTCGGAAGAAGGGGGTGTTTCATCATTTTGTGCGCCGAGTAGCCTTGTCTGGGCATTGCTTTATTGCATGAGTGTTTCCCTTAATCAGCAGGGACATGATGGCCAACCTCCCAGCAATGCTGGGTTTCGTTTGCTCAGCTGCATTGATTTTAACTGTCTGTGGATGTCTATGTTGCTTTCCAAAAAGGTTGCATCAATTTACATTCTTCTGGGTTCTTTTAAATACTCAACGTCCCTAACAACGAAGTATTTAACCATCAGAATAATGGCAATTATAATAATAGGAAATGTTTATAGGCCATTTCCCACATGCCAGCCTCCGTGCTAACCATTATTTCATTGAATCCTCATCGGAGGCTTGAGCCAGGCACTCATAAGGCCCCAGCTTCCCTATGAAGAAACCCAAGGCTTAGAAAGGGGGAGAACCAGCCAACAAGTTGTTGTGCTGGGCTGGGACCCAGGAACCAGGCCAGCTCCTTCCAGAGCCCACGCCCTTTACCACAAAGAAACACTTTCTCCTTCATCTGCTTCACAGGAGCCTGCCGCGGAGAATTTAAAGCTAAGGAGTTAAGAGCTATTCAGCTGATGATCACAGATCTTCAAAAGTCTGGTTTGGGATGATAAGGCAGGAGAGTCCCATTTACAAAAATGAGATTCATGGGCTGCTTTCCAAGAATCCCATATATATTGTTCAGTGAGGCATCCAGCATGAGATGCTCAGCTACTCACATGTGCCCTCAATTAATAGAGGCCTAGGAGAGCTTTCTGAAAATCACAGCCAAGACAATGTAATTAAATGTTCCCTGGGCCAGCTGGAGCTCGGGGGGGTATTTCAGTCACCCCCAAGGAAATGAACGGAGGAAGGACATCCTTCCCCTTGGATCCACTGAGGTTCCCGGAGTTTCCAAGCTGTGTGAGGCTAAGAAAGACTCAGTGCAGGGAAAGGGAGTGGAATGACACGGTGCTTAAGTCACTGTTTGTTGAGGGTGGGATGGGTGCACACTGGGGTTCAGAACTGGCGTGCATGCTGGGATTTCACAGAACACACGTGGAGTAACTGCTAATAGCTGCGCTTTTCCAGGCTGTGCCGGCTGCGGAAGGGACATCAAGAACGGGCAGGCCCTCCTGGCCCTGGACAAGCAGTGGCATTTGGGATGTTTCAAGTGCAAGTCCTGCGGGAAGGTCCTCACCGGGGAGTACATCAGCAAGTAAGGCTGGGGCCCAGGCCGCGGGATCCTTGGGAGGGGCCCCCCAGCCCCCCCACCGGACATAGAGACATTATAGCATCCCACCATCAATACGAAATTTTGCTGCAGAACTTCTTTAGTTTTTATAAAAGGAATTTTATTCTGCCGCTGTTGCCATAGTCTGCCTGCAATAAATTTAATGAAATGTGAATCCTTGCCTAATTTAACAATTAGCAAAGCTGACATAATGTTACACGGTATGTTGTCATCAATTAAGCATTTAGTAATTTTACTTTCCCTCATTTTTTTTCTTTTCCTGTTTGGAACTAGTAAGTGAACCTTTGTCCTCTTTCTAGGTCTTGAATGTATCTGTAGACACCTCCCCCCTCCCAAGACACACACAGGGTCTAAGCCCTGAGCGCATTAGGACCAATGCACAAAACAACCCACCAGGAATGGGTTCGTGTTAGAGTCTGATGCTGCAGATAATAGCTAGAGTAAGTGTTGCGTTGCTGTTGTTTTAGTGTAGCCTGGAGAAACTAGTTACAGTGGTTACCTTTTGATTTAAGGAAAAAAAGAATGAATATGGGGGTCCAGTGGCAATGAGGGCAGATTTTCCCCTATGAACCTTCTTATGCTTTAAAAAATGTTCTCCAACCAGGTTAAATATCTCAGCTATTCAAAAGAGTTACGTGAATTTAATTTCAGAATAGAGTGAAACAACAGCAACAAAAGCAGCATGGGCCCCACCCCCCAGAAATCTAATTCTGTAGGTCGGGGAGAAGCCCAAACGCCTGTAGCGGAAGGAAGAAACTTCACAGGTGATTTCTGACACACAGCCGAAGGAAGAAGAGACAGGAAAGTGCCCGACTGACTGTTAAACTAACCCAGAAGCCTGTGTGGGAGTAGGTAACTGGGCTGTCTGCAGTGGTGCTTTTTGACTCTTCCACTCAATGGCACACCTAGAAAACAACATTTTTACTGTGCTCTGAGGTAAATAAGGAGGTTTTGAGAGGCTGGATGAGAAGGCCCCGCGCCCCTCAGGCCTCCTGAGGGCGGAGGACACGGCATCTCAGCGCTGCCGGGAGGTGATGATGTGGGAGCTCAAGGAAGCTGTGAGGGGAAGGTGGCCTTGGGGCCTCCTCAGAGGAGGGTGAATGCTGCCGCCCCATCTGAAGCCCAGCTGGCCTGGTGGGGAGAGGGAATGGTGCCAGTGTTTTGCTAGTTAGTTCTGAGACAACAGGGAAGCAGCAGGGGGAACCATGTGGTGATCTGGCTGTAATTTCTGTGTAGCCGGGAGAACCACAGCCCTCTGTCCACATGGTGGGGTTCCCTGCGTTGTGACCATGTCTGACCGGGTCTCCAGGCATGCGGATGCTGGGTGGGGGAGAATGCCAGCATGCTGCCGTTCTGTGGACAAGGGCTCCGAGGACTCCGGTCCTGGTGTCTTCCCGGCCCCTCAGCCCCCCTCCCGGGAGCTGAACAGCCTTCTGTGTTGCAGGGATGGCGCTCCGTACTGTGAAAAGGACTACCAGGGGCTCTTCGGGGTGAAATGCGAAGCCTGTCACCAGTTTATCACAGGGAAAGTCCTGGAGGTAAGTGGCTCCCGTCAAAGCGACCATCATGTTCCTCAGAAGTCGTCAGAAACACAAAAGAGGCTCTTGTTCCATTTTCTCCATCTTCGCCACTGGAGGAAAGCAAGTAGTGTCGATGACGGATCGCTCTCTCAGAGATTTAATGGGTCGGGCTGTCTTCACAGGCAGTTTCCACTAAACGTTCACGCGCAGTTGGAATGATGGAGAATTAATCCAAAGTGGTAGGGGGACCACTAGGAATTATGGAGAAGGAAGGGTCATATGAGACTATTTTTAGACGTCAGAAAGCACACGTGTGTGCGTGTCCACGTGCGCTCTCACGGGTACGGGTGTGCGTGTGAGGGGGCACGCTCAGGGAGCAGGGGCTCAGAGCTGAAGCAAAGGAAGGGTGGGTGAAAGGTGAAGGCATACACTTCCCCACCCTTAAAAACCACATCCTGTGTGACCCAGAACACCCTGGGGCTTGGGCCGAGCCAACCCCTCAGGTTCAGGTGTGACAGCCTCCTGCCACAGAGCCTGGTTCCTGCTTTCTCAGCCCCGGCCCCGCCAGCGGCTGCCTCTGGGCTGAGCGGAGCCCCTCTTGGGCCAGAGCCTGTCCTGTGGAATTAAGGGCCGGAGTTCAGAGGGAGTCTCTGCCCCACCCCACCCCTCCTGTGGGGCCTTAACCAGATCTGATAAAAAAAAAAAAAAAAGAAAAGAAAAGAAAGAAAGAAAGAAAAGATTACCTCATATCCGGCCCACATTTCAGGGTAGAGACTGTGTCCTGGGCAGAGGTACGTCAGGACATGGAGCACCTGGGAAGGCAGCCAACTGGTCCTGCAGCTTTGACAGACACCAGGCACCGAATCCCCATAACCACATGCAAACCTGCCAGCAGGGTGTGTTTCAGAGACCCTGGGCACAAATCTAAGAGACCCCCGAGTGTCTGGGGGCAGCTGCTGTGGGATTGCCCAGCGAGGTCTAGCATAGCTTCCCTAATCCCAGGGCAAGCTCTGGGGGGGCTCGGGGTGGGGGGAACCTCTCTGGGAGACACAGAAGGGCCTGTGCTGGCTCTCTGCTGGGACCTAGTGTAGCTAATTGGAGTGGGGAGATAAGGAAGTGACTGCTACAAGCTGTTGTCTTTTACCCTGGGGAAGGGGCTTCCAGGAAGAGGGACCAGCCTCCGCAGAGGCCCAGAGGCGAAGGACAAGCAGAGCAGAAACAAAAGTCACATGGGCAGGAGCACAGGTGTGAGAGATGACGCTAGGGCAGCGGGGGAGGGGGTCGGAGCGTGAGGACTTCGAGAGTCATATTCAGGACTTTGGGCTTTATCCTAAGAATGGTGGGAAGCCATTGAAGCAATTGTAGTTGGAGTTGAACGTGATTGGATCACATTGCTGTATAAAGAATGCACGGGACGGTGCCTGGGTGGTTCGGTCGGTTAAGTGTCTGACTCTTGGTTTCGACTCAGATCATGATCTCAGGGTTGTGTTGGGCTCTGCGCTCAGCTCAGCCTGCTTGAGAGTCTCTCTCCCTGTCCCTCTGCCCTTCCTGCTCGTGCTTCCTCTCAAATAAATAAATAAATATTTTTAAAAAATAAAAGAATGCATGGGAGTCCTCAGATACACATAGAACCACACCCATAGCAGCTCTGTTTACAACAGCCAGAAGATGGAAACAACCCCGTGTCCATGCATGGATGAATGGACCAACAAAATGTGGATATATACGGACAAGGAATACTATTCAACCTAAAAAGGGAAAGACTTCTGATACTGCTACCACATGGGTGAACCTTGAAAACATTATGCTAAGTGGAAGAAGCCAGACACAAAAGGCTGCATACGGCTTGCTTCCATGTAGATGAAATATCCAGAAGAGGTAAATCCATAGAGACAGAAAGCAGACTGGAGGTTGCCTGGAGTTGGGGGGCAGGGCGGGGCGGGAAATAAGAGTAACTGCTCATTGGTACCCAACTGGAGCGATGACATGTTTTGGAACGAGATAAAGGCAGTAAATGCATGACATTGTGACTATCCTAAATGCTGCAGAATTGTTTACATTTAAATGGTTTATTTTATGGATGTGAATTTTACCTCAAATTGTTAAAATAACGGTTGGGAAGGGGGTGAGGGTAGAGACAGGGAGGAGACTACTGCAGAACTCAGGGCACAAAACAGTGGGAGCACTGGCAGGAGGGAAACCCGAGAGGTGGACCCAACCTCCACACACAGTTGGGGGGGAGGCAGAGTTTTCATGGCCTTTCCAGTTTAATAGCTGGCCCAAGTGGGGTCAATGCTGGGCCCTCGGAGAAGCACCCCTGCAGGAAAGCTATTGGAGAAGTTGGTTGTGCCCTATCCAAAGTGCAGCATGAAGTCCAGGTGGTCAGACCACAAGACTCAAAGTGTGGTGGTGGGCGCTCCCTACCCGTCCCCTAAACATGTCTTTCATCCCTCCATGGAGCTCGGAGGGGGTGCCTCACAGCATTTACTTTGGGGTTCCCAAGTTTGATCTGCATAAGACTGAAATAAACCCATTGAGCTGGGAGCAAGGGGGAAATTGCATTTTAGAACAACAGTAATAAAATATCAGAACCATCTCCCAAATGTTTGGCTGTAGGAAGAGCAGTGGGAAGACACTGAGCATAGCCCCCGGATTTGAGCCAGCCACATTTACAGAAGGCGTGGATCGAAACAGCTGTCTCAGTCCACGGAGGGAACTGTGTTCCCTAGAAGGAGTTGGGGAGGCAGCAGACAGGGGGGGCTATCGATGACCTCAGATTTAGTTCAACAGCTGTGAGAAGGAATGTGTAAAATACACACCAGGTCCAAGAACATGCCATTTTATAGAAACATCTGCTTCCCCCAGCTCCCCCCCCCTGGAGTGGGTGTTGGTGGTAGCTGCAGGAGCTCCTTGCCCCTTGGCTTCGGGTTTCAGTGAGGTCCGTCTGTCAGGTGGACATTGTCGAGGCTTTGCACATGGTGCCTGCAGAATTGGGACTTCTGGGAGTTATTTGTACGGGCTTCATGGTAGAGTCAAGACCCACCCAGCGGGAGTGCCGACCTCCTCAGAAGGGTGTGATCTAGAAAAATGTCCTGCCTGAGTAGCACACTGACATGTGACCAACTTCTGAGTCAGCTTGGCTTGGTTCCCCATATAAACCCGACAGGTCTCAACACTCCACCCTCCTCCCGTGCCTTCATTCTCAGACCCCATCATTGAAACATTATGATTGTGAATTTGTAAATGCTTTGATCCCTGCCTTTTGGGTTTTTCCCTTCCATTTTAAAAATGTGGTAAAATGCACCTAACATGAAATTTACCATCTTAATCCCTTTTAAGTGTACAGTTCAGTGGTATTGAATATATCCATGATGTGGTGCAACCCTCACCACCATCGATCTGCATGACGCTTTACAGCTTTTAAAGCGGAGACACTATACTTACTAAACAGTAAATCCTCATTTGCATCTTCCCCCCTCAAGCCCCGACAACAACCGTCCTATTCTCTGTCTCTATGAATTTGACTACTCTAGGCACCTTATGTAGGTGGAATCATATAGTATCCAGGTGTGTGTGTGTATGTCTACTTTGCTTTGAACAGTGTCCTCAAGGTTCATCCATGTTGTAGCATGTGCCAGAATTTCCTTCAAGACTGAATGATATTGCATCATATGGATATACCATGTTTTGCTTCTCCGTTCTGTGATCCTTATCTTGTTACTGTTGTTTCTTCTGATTGATTGTATCCATAGAGATTGTAAATGTGTTAGTTTCCTGAATCTGCTCTCACAGTGGGGGCTTAAAACCGCAGAAACTTACTCTCTTACAGTTCCAGAGGCCAGAAGTCCAAACCCAAGGTGTCAGCAGGGCCACGCTCCCTCCAGAGGCTCTCAGCGGGAACTCTCCCTTGCTTCTTCCAGCCTGTGGTGGCCTGTGGCTGCATGACCCTGATCTCGGCCTTCATCTTCACATGACCTCCCCTCTGTGTCTTCTCTCTGTGTCATTGCTCCCTCTGCTTTGCTCTTAGGAGGAAGTTGTCATTGGATTTAGGGCTCACCCCGATAGTCCAGGATGATCTCATCTCAAGATCCTTAGCTTAATGATTACATCTGCAAAGGCCCTTTTTCCAAACATTCACAGGTTCCGGAGATTTTATGTGGACCTATCTTTTGGGCCACCCTTCAAATGCACTCCAGTCAAGCTGGGAACTTAGACAAGTATCATCCAGTGACCCTCACTAAGCATCAGAGGTGCCCAATAGCCTCCTCTCTGGGTGCTTTCACCTGAGATGTCTCCAGACACCTGAGAAAGCTTTTGCCTGACCGACTGGGGAGCAGAGTCTTCACGTGTTTTAATGAAAAGGGCTCCACGTGTTAGGGAATCTGGGCTCTGCTCTTGGCTCTAGAACTCCCAGCTGTGGGACCTCAGGCAAGTGTCTCAACTTCTTTGAGCCTCAGTTTTTCAGTACAGGCATTAAAAATATATCCAAGCCTTGCACTGCTTGACTCCCAAGTTTCCTTGGCTCTTAGGACCCGAGTTCTGTAAATGTCATGTCTTAGGTTTAAGGGGCTGGAGTCAATGGTTCTTTCTCCTGGAGAGATTTTCCTGTAAACTGGCATGGAGCATACGCTCAAATTGTAGCTTTATCATTAGCTGGCTTTCAGTTTTGGTTTCAGCCATAAGATTATCTTTTTTTGAGAGGTCTTGCTCTAAATGGTACATCTGTAAAAGCTTATGCTAATTAACCTATAAATTCAGGAACTTTCTGAAGATGTTTACAACCTGCCTCCTAATTAAGTCCAGAATCAAAAACTTGAGTTTGCCAATAGCCTTCTATCTCTATCTGTATCTCAGAACTCTCCTCTGAAGCAACTTCCTCCCCCTCCCCTCCCACCACCGCTCCTCTCCCCTCCTCCTGCTTTAGCAGGCTAACGGTACAGGAAGCTACAGGAGACTTCAGACTTAGATCATAGATGTCAGCAGACATTGGGCATCCCTTTGGTATGAATTTCCTCCCC